ACTGAATATTTTTCAACATTGCAATATATCACGATATCTGAAATAAGGAAGGAACTACACAGAGGTGAACAGGACAATGTCCTGGCAACTGCTACTACTTAAGGGTCTAAAACTGATAAATGATGATATTATCAATCATCTCATGGTCACTTTCAGCAGCAGGCAAGCCAAAATGCATCCAAATGAGACTTTTGGTTTCGGGCTTAGCTACCAAATGGTGGTATTGAGGACAAAGTACCTGCCACCATTGCAAGGCCACACAGGCCACCACTACTGACAACACCATTACAAGGCCTTGCAGGCTGTCACCGCTTTTGCCACTACCACAGGTCCTTGTAGGCCACCACCAAGACAAGGCCTCTTAGGCTGCTGCTGCTGCTTCTGTCAACACCGCCCTCTGCTGTGGCAAGGCTTCACAGGCTGCTGATTATTGTGCCACTACTGCCAGGCTGCTACTGCTTCTGCCTCCCACCCTGGCCATTGCTGATTCTGTTGCTGCCAAGCTGCTTCTGCTACCTAGCAGGCCTGCTGGCAGTCTGGCAGTCCCATATTATTTGTATTCACTATGACTTATCTCCGTACTTTGGACTGTCCTGAATACCACCAAGTATACCAAAAGTCCTCTTGGGATGCATTTTGAATTGCCTGCTGATGAAACTGAGTGTGTGATGATTAATAATATTGTCATTTATCCATTTAGACCCCTAAGTAGTAGCAGTTGCCAGGACATTGTCCTGTTCGCCTCTGTATATCTCCATCCTTATTTCAGACATTGTGGTAGATTGCAATATTTAGCTGGATATTGTGAGGTTAATAAAGGGACGCAGGTGGCGCTGTGGGCAAAACCTCAGCGCCTAGGACTTGCCGATCGCATGGTCGGCGGTTCGAATCCCCGCGGCAGGGTGTGCTCCTGTTGCTCGGTCCCAGCACCTGCCAACCTAGCAGTTCGAAAGCACCCCCGGGTGCAAGTAGATAAATAGGGACCGCTTACCAGCGGGAAGGTAAACAGTGTTCCGTGTGCTGCGCTGGTTTGCCAGATGCAGCTTGTCACGCTGGCCACGTGACCCGGAAGTGTCTGCGGACAGCGCTGGCTCCCGGCCTATAGAGTGAGATGAGTGCACAACCCTAGAGTCTGGCAAGACTGGCCCGTACGGGCAGGGGTACCTTTACCTTTTTATTGTGAGGTTTAGCTGCTGATAACATTGCAGTGTTTATTTGGTGAGTTATCGCAAAGTTTAGCTGGTGAGTTATTTTGATGATGAAAACCAGATATCACCTAGTCCTTACACACATTGTGATTCACGATATATTGCCAGCTCAAATATTATGAAACAATTAGCACCATGTGAACTTCAAACCAGTTTTGGATGATATATTGATATATCACCCAGCCCTACTCAGAAGTAGGCAACCTGTTGCTGGAAGGCAGTCAACCATCTAACTCTGTGTTACTTGTAGTGTGCCTTCCTGCTGACCTAAAACATTGTGCAGCTGTTCCTGCTGAGAGAGGTGGGGGGAAGATTTGATCCTCCTCTCTCCTAAGCAGTGATGAAAAAGAAACAGGGTTGCAGATACAGTCACATCTGCATTCATAGTGGGACTCCGTTTACATGCGCTTGCACATACATATTACGTATAATAAAACGTAACTGCACTGGAGGATTTGTAGTGCTGCATCACAATCCTTGATTTGCATGTAGTCAAGAGTGTAGTCCCCATTGGAGGATTTTTCATACCTCATCACAACCCTCAATTTGCATGGAGTTGGGATGGGGTAGGGAAGCGAAAGAGAAGGTGTGTTGGAACAACAGCAGAGGCTGTGGCATAGGAGTAAGAAGAGAGGGTCACTGAGAAGGGGAAAGTGATGGCTTAAAACAACAGTAGAAATACAATTTCATGCATTGTATTTTACTCCTGGTATTATGTGTTATATTCAACATGAAGTTCCAGAACAGGTTTTTAACAAACACACACTCATCTAGGAACAACATCCAACAACTGAACTCTAACTGAACAACTGAACAAGTCAATTGACAGGCTTGCTTTCGATATTCTGTTCATCTTAAAGATACAGTGACATGTATCGCTCCAGGGTGTGTGTGCAAAGGGCTGCTACAGAAAAGGAGTACGGGGTGGACCAAGTGCAAGGGAAAGTTTAAAAAGGAAGGAGGGGGTAGGTGGGTAAAAGGGGATGGATGTGATAATGGTGTTTGTGCAAAGGGGGCTGCAGAATGGGGTTGGGAAGGTGAAAAGGGAGCTCAGTAGTTGCATGGAGTCGGAAGGGGAAGCTCCAGGGGGTTAATGTGGAAGGAGTGGCAGGGGGAATAAGAGAGAGTAGGGGCACAGCCCCTAGCGTGCATGCATGCATGCGTGTGTGTGTATACATATAAACACAAACAGAGCATCCATCCATATCCAGACTGTATATGACTGTATATGAGCAAACAGCATGCTTCTTGAAGAGTATATATGTTGACTGGCGAATGACCATATTGCCCAGAGAATGCACAAAATGCTGTCACATTATGCACATTCCCCAAGGCCTGTTGGAGACTGTGTATATTGACTGGGAAATGTGCATAATTTGCTTCTAATGGACAGACTATTTGTACATTCTCCACGTGGCATGATTTATGTACACATTCCCCAATTATACACATTAACTACTCAGCTCAGCTGACCCCATATGATAGATCTACACACACCTCTTTGACTCAAGGTAACGCTTCATGCATTTGATGAAAAAGACTGAAGTCCACTAAAATTCATGCTATAATAAATTGGTTAGTCTTTAAGTTTTGTAGTCATTCCTCATAAGTATGAGTAAAATCTCCCATGCAGAAAGGGTAATCTACATTTAGTAATGCACTAAGACCACAATCCTAAATACAATTACATTTGTCTTATTGGGTCTTACTTTTGAGTAACCATGCATGGGATTGCATTTTTTAAAAAAAATCTTCCCAAATTATAAAGGCTCTTGGAACACAATCAAAATTCTGACTGTCATTTCTACAGTTGAAACAAAATGTTTTACTAGCCAATTGTTCAAGCTAAGAAATACCTGTATAGTGTTTGTTTGAGCAAGCTTCCAAGGTGAGAGCTCAGCAAAAGCAAGAAAGGAAGAGAATGAAGTAGGAGTTCAAGAATTGAAGAGTAGGCGGACTTTCCCAGTTATTAGGCAGCAACCTTGTCACTTGCATCTGATTTCCCTTTAGAAATCTACAAACACACCTCCTTTCACCATAGTTATGCAGACTGCTTACTCAGTAACATTAGAGCAGTGTTTGTCAAACAGCGGGTCAGGAACCATCATTGGCCATCACTGTACTTTTGAGTAGGTCATAGTTCTGCAGTCCATCTTCCCCATGGCCATGCTGTTGCCCTTTAATTGATAGATGCCAGCACCAACAGACTACTGACCATTTGTCTGACCAATGGACTACAATGAAGTTATATGGGCAACATGATGAGAAAGAAACCCTACTTTGAAATCCAAAAATTATTCATAGTTAAGGACCTGAGGAACATAGAGGTGGATTGCATGTCCATTGTCTGCATCCTTAATTGGGCATGTCAGAATTATATTTTAAAATTATGTTATAATTATATTTATTTATAATCATATTGTAAAAAACATAGGTGTAGCAGCTCAATCTGTAACAGCTATAAAATAGGAGATGTGTACTTTACAGAGTAATTTGGCAACTGAGTCATCAACAATGATAAACTAACAATGTCACTGCCAAACTGGTACAAGATAATTTGATACTGACTTTTAGTTCACCAATTCCAGGTGTTGTTTAGTTTTAAATCTGAAAGCCTTTATTCTATACGGTGCATGAGGCCCTTGAGCATACTTTCCAGACGAAGAATCTTGCCTAGGCCAAAAGCTTGCATATTTAATTTGCCCAATAATGGTCAGTTTTGATGTCATTGGTTTCATACATGGCAAGCCTTATGGGTATATAAAAAGCTGCATAAATGTGCTGCAAGGATCAACATACAAGTGTGTAGCTTTGGACACTCAGTATATAAATTGGACATTACCTTCCTAATTCCCTTTGGAACCAGAATATAAACAAGGCATCCTTATGTTTTTGCTATGTTTTGCAGTTCCATATACAAAGTAGCGAAATGAGAATGAGGTACCAAATAACCATTTTACCTACTTCATGCTACATAGAATTACAATGACCTTTCCCTGCCCACCACCAAATATATTTCATATACATTTGTAGCCTCTTGCTCAACAAGCTTTCCTAAAACAATATGTATCTACTTGTATCGGTCCTTTAAAAAGGTCCAATGTGGACTGTGTGCAAATAAAAATAAGAAAAAATAAATGATGGTACTGGGAAGGAATGAGTTTAGGGATCAGCAGTTAATTCTGAAATTTAATTTGATTTGAAGCCTACAATTACTATTTGTGCAACATGCAAAACTAGAACGACTCAACCTGGAAGACTGAATGTTGACTATACCAAGCATATATACATACACCATACACCATATTTCCAACACTTGTTTTTTTTTAGACCCCAGCTGTTTTCACAAGTGATACTAAGCTCATTTTTCTCCATCTCTACCCACACCTGCATTGCTCTGGTGACCTTTTAAACACACAGGCATTCAAATTTTAGATCAAGGGAGTGCTGTATGGGAAAGGTGGGGTTATTTTTCAGCTCTTTTATGCCTTCTCAGCTAAGGAGCCTGCTGCAGATCACCTGATGACCATTTATAGCTGCATACATCCCAGGCCATTCAAGAGCAGGAGTGCCTGTCCAGATCGAGTGGGTGTGTGCAAGCATGGGAACCTCTGAGCCAGAGAGCAGCCTGGCTCATTAACAGAGGCAAATGAGCATCAGCTGGAACAGGGTGACATCATCCAGAAATCGTGGGTAACAGATCTGTTGGAGACACTTGTGAAAACGCCCCCTGACGACCGAGTAGGTCTTCCCCGCCCCACTTGGGCGCAGGTGTTTCGTGCTCCCGCTTACCGTCCACCAGCTCGTCGAGGTTGGAGAGTTTCCCGGCTGCCGTCGATGGTGTAGATGGTGCGGACGCCCTGGGGAAGGTTGACATTGTCCGACAGAGACCTGGTGAGCTCGGCCAGGAGGGCGTCGAAGGAGCGGAAGCGGTCGCTGGAGATGGGGTAGACCAAGCCCTTGAAGTACTTGTCCCCATTGCGGTAGAAGCGCGCCTTCTTCGCCTTCTTCTCCGAGCTGAGGGCCTGCAAGGTGCGCGTGCGGTAGAAGCTGCAGTGGGCGCTGTGCGCGGGGCTGGGGATGAGCCCGTTCCCTTTGGGGCCCGAGCTGCTGCTGCAAGTGGAGCTGCCCCCTCCGCCGCGGCGGGAGCTCGAGCGCGGATGCCTTTTGTCCCTCTCCTCGAAATGCTCCAACTCAAGGTTCCTCCGCGGGCTGGCCATTGGAGAGCCGTGTCGCCCACACCGCAGCCCAATACCAATATCAACCCTCCCCTCGCAAGCGACACCCCCTCCACTCCCCACCTTAAGCCTCCTCACGCGCCCTGACCAAAGAGATGCCCGCCCGCGCGCGAGGGGATCCTTTACCTCAGCATCCCGCCAAAAAAAAAAAAAAAAAAAAAGAGGGCGGGAGACTGCGGTCCCTCAGAGGCTGGGCGTTAGGAAGAAGCCGCCGCCTTCATCCAAGCAGGAGCAGCAGCTGTAGCTGTAGTAGTAGCGCCAAGCTGTGCCGGGGACTCCGTGCCCATGAGGGGCGGGGGAGAGAGAGGAGAGGCAGCAGGTCGCCCTCTTAAGTCACGCGCGCGCAGGCACCACCACGCATCCCTCTCACAGAGCCCCTGCTCAGCACCTCCCGCCTCGGGGACGCCCGTCATGAGCCGCTGAGAGGCCGCCAAGCCTCCAGGCTGCTTCCATTCAGCCTTAGGCGCGCGCCCGCCTCGGGAAAAGTGGTGCTGGGAGGCGGAGAGAGAGAGAGGACGCCGCTGGCCGCGTTCCCCGCCCCTCAGTCACTCGGCTCGGAGCTACTGAGGAGAGGGAGGTGGGCACGACGGCGCGTCTGTTCCGCTCGGGGCCGGCGCGCCCCCGCCCCCCTCTCCAGAATCCCCAACTAAATACGATGCGCTAAGGGAGGGGGGAGAACCCACCCACAAAGAGGACGCCTTTCTGCAGGGCGCCTAAGCTATCCAAATCCCTCCTGCCGCCGCCGCCGCTGCTGCTGCTGCTCCAAATGCATCCGCGCGCCCGCGAAGGCGCATGCACAACCCCGCCGGCAGCCGTAGCCGGGCTGATCTCCCGGGCGATAAAGCAGCGCCGCACTGTAGCGTAAGGCTCTTAAGAGGGGTGCGGCGGTGCCGCCGTGCTGGAGAAAAATAAATAAAGGAAAGCAAAAGGAAACAGGCTTCCCCTGCTCGCCCCCTTCCTTTCCTGTGCCGGCAACCTCTTCGGAAGCCAAGCGCAGAGAATCCAACAGGAGGAGCAGGCGGCGGCTGCAACCCGGCCAATGTGCACTAATAGCAATGCAGTATGTGATGTGACAGAGGCAAGGGGAAGTGGCAGCTGGGTCCTAGAGCGACTCGGACTCTCGGCCATCGCAGCTCTTCAAGGCAGGCTCTGGTTGCCCAAGCTGCATTGTGGATCCCGTTATATACACTGAGTGAGCCCGATCAGGGAGCTCAGAAAGGAACGCAGCAAGCTGGCTTCTATCGAGTCAGCCCCATTGATCCATCTTGATTGGTATTTTGCACAGTGACGGGCAGCCTGGTTTCCAGGCAGGGAATCTTTCCCAGCCCTGCCAGGGATTGAACCCCCAGAACTTCTGCAGGCAAAGCACATGCTCTACCATCTACTGCTAAGTATGCTTACAAATGCAACACCCATATGCATCTTCCGGATTTTACATAATGGTTTTTATATGTGCTAAGTTTAATAGGCCCTCAATCAATATTCCGTTTTGATGCCACAACTAGAGATTGCCATATTTAGGCCCACAAACTACCTGCTACTTTAGCCACATTCCTTATCACAGGAGCCAATTCCTAAGAGCAGAGATCCCTTTGGCCCCCAATAAAATATTTGAGGGGGCTGCCCCACTCCAAATTGATGGGCATTGTTATTCAAATGTGTGTGTGTGTGTGTGTGTGTGTGCGCGCGCGCGCTGCATCATGTGATCCATTATATGGGCTGGGGTTTCCTAGACCAGACCAATGTTTTATTCAAGTTGGTACCCCTGGTCCTTATTGTTTCCATTTTATTGTTTTATTGTTTCCATTTGGAAATAGACAACAGCTTGCCTAAAGAAAACAGGTGTGTTATGATTCACATAATATATTACTAGATTCCATGAACCAAGGTCTTAATCCTCTGCCACTACAGGGATGAGAGACTTGAACCCTAAAAACACTCCAAGCTTCCATCCCTTGCGCATAGTGACTGTGGAGTAAGTCCACTGAACTCACTTTGCTTCTCCATAAAGAGGCCTAGGACTGGGGTGCACATTGAATGAGAACGGCCTAATACTTTGGATGACCTTGACTAGCACAAAGGTGGCAAGATTGGAATACTAACATTCCTAACTCATGACAAACGAATACAGATTTATTGTTTTCAAATGTGACTATAAACACCCCAGATCTGGGAGAGATTGTTACCAGAGCCCAAGTGCTAAAGGGGAAAGCACTCTGCTGATGCTCAGTGGCACTTGCCCAGCTAGCTTGCACGCATCAGGTCTGACACTGCATTATGGGGTGGGAAGTTCTAGAATCTGAAACATTAGCATGGACCCTCTGGGTTTTTGCCACACAACTGATGGACAAACAAGTCTAGTTGTAGAAGATCCATGATGAGATAGATAGCCTATTTAATAATAATAATAATAATAAAGTTTTAACACAGAGGTGACAGAGAGGAGGTGAGGCAAAATTGCATTGGGAGCAACAGCTTTCTTAATTCTCCCATGTAGTGTTCCAGATTGCAAACAGCTTCTCTCAGGAGAAAAGACAAGGTTTTTTCCCCCCAGGGATGGGGTTGACAGCATCAACTGGGGAAGTGGCATGGATGCTGAACACTTTATTAAGCTTCTGGCATGAGGTTACAACACACCTTATTTACTGTATGCCTCCCAGAGAACTTTATAGTATGGGATGGCAAACAAAAGTCATAAATAAAATAAGTAGAGGGTATGCATTATGTAATGATAGAAGACTGATCTGTTTTGTTGCTGTCATGATTATATAAAAAGCAGGGTTGTTTCTGGACTTGGCATTGGTCCTGGGTGCTTAAGTGGTGGCTATGGGCAGGACCATTCTCTTCTGCAATACAGGATTCATCTAGCCAATATAATTAATTCTGATAATCTGCAGACCCTTCCATCACAAGTTTATATTAGAGTGCAGGGGTAGAGTTGGGATACAGTACATGATAGGGAACAGATAACCATGCAGGTTACAAGCTCAGTATGAATTAATCACTGCAATGTACTCAATGTAACACTACTTTTAAAGACATTTGGAAGCTTCAGTGGATCTGCCATGTAGCAGCCATATTACCAGTCAGACTTAATACCTGGAGATTTGTTAAGCTAGTTCAGGGGTCGGCAACCTAAGGCCCTGGGGCCAGATGCGGCCCAATCGCCTTCTCAATCCGGCCCGTGGACGGTCTGGGAATCAGTGTGTTTTTACATGAGTAGAATGTGTCCTTTTATTTAAAATGCATATCTGGGTTATTTGTGGGGCCTGCCTGGTGTTTTTACATGAGTAGAACGTGTGCTTTCAGAGTTGGTTGCATTAGCCACAACTATATGAAAGACATAAAGAAGACAGCAAGAAAGGATTCAGTTATACAAGATCTAGGTTTCAAATGGAAGGGATTGAAGGGAAAGTGAAATTACTGAAGGCCGCATACAGCATGCTATTAGAATGGGAGATAAAAGATGAAGAAGTAAAATCAGTTATGATTAAATGGGCACAAGATGTAGGTCACAACATTATGATGGAAGATTGGGAAAAATTATGGAAACTGATTTAAAATTTACAGATTGGGGAAATAAGGATGATATGTTTCTGGATAATATGTTTTGCTTTAATTTCGAATAAAAAAAGTTTTTTTAAAAAAAGAGTGTGTGCTTTTATTTAAAATGCATCTCTGGGTTATTTGTGGGGCATAGGAATTCGTTCATTCCTCCCCCCCCCAAAAAAAGTCCGGCCCACCACATGGTCTGAAGGACAGTGGACCAGCCGATGGCTGAAAAAGGTTGCTGACCCCTGAGCCAGTTCCTAAGGCATCCCACTGGTGACAATTTCTGGCAGAGTTCAAGGCGCTTGGTTTTAAGATCCTAAATGGCCTGGGCCCAGAATATCTTCTCCTGTTAACCTCTCCATGTTTTAACAGACTGCAACAAAGCAGGTTGGGTCAAACTGATGCTAAGAGTATAGTTTATTTATACGTATATATACAACCTGAGCCTGGATTAATTAGCGATGATTGGATTTTAACACTTGCTGGCTCCAGGGGTTAGGGGTGTCTGGCACCCACAAATTCATAACATTATGTTAGGATAATGATAACCATCCCAAAACACAGGCTGCAATCTGAAACCCTACTACTGCGATGATATTGGTAAAAACATCTCCTCCAAATTAAATGACGAAAGGAGCAACAAACAAACACACATGCGCTTGGGCTGCATTTCTAACCCCACTAGTCCAATGCTTCTGCTTCTGCTGCTGATATTCAGAGGAAACAGGATATTGTGCAAAGAATATAAGAGAACAACAGAAACATTGGGCAAGACACCTTGCCCTCTCATTTCAACAGTAGCCCCAGAACTATCTGCCTTATCAATACACATCTATTCTGGCATAAGGGGTGGTATGGAATGCTAATTCTACTCACATTAACCTATTAAAGTTAGTGGATATGATTCACTTAGGTTCATCAATTGCAATGGGTTTTCTCTGAGAAGGAGAAGTGAAGAAAATGGTATAGGATAACTTGCAATTTGCCTCCAAAATTCTCCCCCATCCAAAAAAACCCCAGGTTCTTTAGGTAAGCAAAGGCCCACCTTTTCCACAACTGTTTTAGCAAAAGAAGAAATATGAGCTCTTGCATGAATTTCTCTCACTCATTTCTCTCACCTGTGGGTTGTTGTTTACAAAGTGTTTACAAGAAAGTCAATAAAACTTTCTCCACTTTCTGCCTCAGTCAAGGTGCCTAGACAAAAATCCTTCACACACACACACACACACACACACACACACACACACAGTGGGGGAGGCAATGAATGGAACTGTGCACACTCAAGAGTGCAAACAGCTTGGACCCTGTTTCTGGGGCTATGCAAGAACTGCCCCACTAGACTCCTCTTCCCTCCTCCCACCAGCTTGGAAACTTAAGCCTTCTCTTTTCAGGTCTGGCTTTGGGGAGAAAGAGAGAAGCAGGGAGAATAATATAGGAATCCCCCCCCCCCATCTTTCTATGTCTGGTTAAAAAATAAAAAAAATGAAAATCTCCCTTCTCATTGGAGACAGAAGAGGCATTTATTGCTAGTGAATTTTATGACTGGCCAAGCAGAGAAGGTGGACAGAAGCCTATTGGGCACTGGAAATGTGTTGATATTATTGTGGGTGACAGGACAAAGACTGGACCATGGCTTTCAGCATTGGGAGGGTTCAGAATCTTGGCAGGGTCAAGCTCCAATTTGCCCATAAGAGGAGTCCCTCTTGAAAACAATGGACTGTTTTGCATGCCATGGTAAGCCAAACTATGGCTTACCAGGACCTGCTCGTTCCTGGACAGGAGCTTGTACCTGTTTTGATCCTCTCTGGTCCTTTTAGGCCAGTACAGACTGGCAGATAAGCCAAGATTTGGATTAGCATGTCATCTGAACCCAGGATCATGTTTAAGTTCCTTCTTCACTAACCATGAGCTGATCGTGGCTAAGGAGGAAATACCTCCGATTTAGTGATAAAGAGTGGGTTTTCCCGGGGAAACTGCCAGGACAAATGGAAAACTGCTTGGACTCATGCTTTCTAGGCACAGACACAAGCAGAATTTGGACAAGCCTGAACCCAAATAACTCTCCCACAGCCCTCTTCCCTTTCTGATCTTTCATATCTTTTTTCCCTGAGGAGGAACCAGCACCATATATTAGTCTTATTTCAAATATTCCCCACTGACATTCTAGCATTTTCTTTTTTTAAGCTCAACCAAACCCCCATATTTTGTTCTTCATTTTGGAATCACAGCTGTGTGCATTATCACAATTGACTGCACTGCATTTCTTTAACCACCCTTCATGTCCCCCCTTCACTCTGTTCAATTTACCCTCTAGTTTCTTCTATCTTTGGCTGCTTTCTGTTCTTTTGTTTATAACCTTGTATTACATAACTTCTTCCCCCTGCCCCCTGCCTTACTTTATCTCTTTGAGCTAAAAAATCCTTTGCTGAGTCAGAGCAACTGTGCACCATGTTATGATGTCACAACTGTGCCAATTAATTGGCTAGATGATGAAAAC